TCGATAGTCGGCCCTCTCCCTGGGTTACCGCTAGTCGAGGCTCGGGGTGAATGGAGGTCTCCCGTGGCGCCCCTGGCGGAGACAAAGGGAAACAGGGCGAGACCGCGCGTTCACCGACTCGGATATCTATAGACATGGCAAACCCAACCGTTCCCGTTGATATTCCTGCGAAGGCAGCGAAAAGGAAAGAGAGCGACCAGAGGGACTATCCTTCCTTCCCGTTGGTTAGGTTGCCGCCATATTGCGCCGCGCAACTGTTCGATATAAAATCCAGTGAAAGAGCGACTTCCTGACGACCTGAGGTGACTATGACGAGGAAGGTACCTGAGGTGTCCCCTCCCCCGATTTTGTTCATTTTTAAATATGTTATAGAGGACTAAAATCTAAGAAACCCGTGTTTTTTTTTTTGCGGATAAACACTTTTAGGGGTGAAATCGGGCTTCAAAGTTGGCCGTGCAAGGAGGTGAGTTTGCTGTTTCATATAGAAGCACTCGGCCGATTTTCATGAAACAACCGTCAAAGTGTAGGGAATGATGAATTGTGAAATGTGCATTTGGAATTTTTCGAAAATATTCATTTTGTAATGGGTGAGCCACCCCTTTGAATACTTCTTTTACCCCTTACGCGAGCAGTAATTGTTCTATAAAAAAAAAAACAACACGAGTCCCTTAGATTTCAGTCCTCTATAACATACTTAAAAATGAACAAAATCGGAGGGGGACACGTCAGGTACCCTCCTTGTGAGAATACGAGGTATCGGATTAAAGATTTAACTGAAAATCACAAATGGCGCAGGGATCCCTTTGCAGTCAATTAGGGCCTCAGAAACCATGAATCCAGAGGATTTCTGGAGTTTTACTTCGATTTCTTGATATTTATTGTACGAAAACGACAGGCGGAGGATGCCATTTGGTACAATACCCAATATAATTCAATCCAGCTGTCAATATAAAAACCAACGTCGGCAACGTAAGCATTTAGAAAAATCTTTATCGACGTCGATCAAGTTCCTCGACGTGTTTCACTTCGCCTTAATCCTCATTTTCGCAGCTCGGGTAAATAATGAATGCCCGAAGTGTCGAGTCGGTAAAGGACGACGGGAAACCCGTTACTACGTCAAGGAGGGTCTCGACCGGGTGCCAAAGGGCGGGGGGACGCTGACGAGGGTGGCCAGACGTCGATTCCAAGGTTGCCAACCCTTGTTATTCCGCGACCCCAGCGCCACTTCGCGTGACGCGGCGTCGCCGATCATTAATTTATCCGGATGCGTGCAGAGGCTCGCGTCTCTCGCTTCGTCTTTAATAGTCCGCGTAATTAGCGTTCTGTCCGCGAGGGTGATTCAGACGTTTCTCGCTAATCCTGTTAAGACGAATTGAAGCCCCCCTCAAATCATTCGATTCGAATGAGACACTTTTTTTTTAAGGGTATTTTTTAATCCAACAATTCCAATCGACTGATTTGAAGGGGGGTTTCACTTCACCTTAAAGCGGGGAGATTACGTTGCAGAAATGGCCATCCTTGGCACGTGGTTTTCCGCTCGATTCGTTCCTTGGCTGTCCCATCGGATCCAGTTCTGAATCATTACTTCGCTCGGGTGGCATTATGGTAGGCATAATTACTCCTGTATTGCTAGCTGAGCTGAGGACAAAGGAAATTCCGCACAATGAGACGGACAATGTATTCCGGATCCAATCTGCGCGTGTTCAGGATGTCTTCTTAACGGTACTCATTGATCACATTATTTGTGTACACTGATGACATATGAGTCACTTTTCAAATGCGTATAGTACATTCTGAGACGATTTTTGAGGTTATGTCAAGTGACGCCATTTGCGCGGATCCATTTTTGCGCATGAACATGGGGAAGCTAGAACCTAATGTCGGATCCAATTAAAATATTTATTCCCTATTAATAAGTCTTTATCTCAAGCGCTAGGTTCTTTTAGTTCAATGTATCATTCTGTTGAAAATGCGATGAATATTTTCACTTTTTGGTACGAATGTATCCCACTTTCATGTCACCTTAATGTTTCTAATTGTATCAAGCAGTCGCGAGCGCCCCGTAGTTCCGCTGATCGCCGCCAGGCGGCGGTGGCGCTCGTGACTGAGAGTGACGCGCGCATCGAGGGGAGGGCCTAGGTAAACACAATGCGGGGTGACATTTGCTCACGAGCTCGATTAGCATGATAATCTTCTGCGGGTCCGTAATTAGATTCGTGCTCTCGGCGGGCCGTGACACCGACGGCAGAATGCATAATAATGGCGCGTCACCTTCGCCTCCGTCTACCTCCGTCAAGCCCCCCGCGGGCCGCGTGCACCGAGGGAGTACAGTCGCGGACAGAAATGCCTTTCCTGCAGGTACGGCATCGCCAATGCACGATGGGAAGGCATCCATGTCCACCAGTGTACACATCGACGCTCGGCGACCTTGGCGATGCGGGATCCCCGGCGGTTGAGAGTCTCCGGCAATTCATAAACCATGCCATCCGGCCCGGTTCGTTAACCTAACCTCTTCCGGCGCGACTTGTCAAATGTGACGCCCCACCCTCCGCCGAGGCAACGTCGTTTGATCACTTAGCGGGCCCTTAAATTCGATTGGACGTTTTGCGCGATCGGGAAAACCGAGGGGAATTGCTGATGAATCGTTAAGGTGAAATGAAACCCCCCTCAAATCAGTCGATTCGAATAAAACACTTTTTTTTGAGGGTATTGGACCAAACTGTCCGAAACTTTGACACGTGACTCGTGATCATCTAAGAATTGTCCCTACATATTCAAAATTTGGATTTTTCAAAAAAAATATTTTAAATTATGTTACTTGTCAAATGTGACGCGCCACCCTCCGCCAAGGCAGCGTCGTTCGTTTGATCACTTAGTGGACCCTTAAATTCCATTGGATGTTTTGCGTGATCGGGAAAACCGAGAGGAATAGCTGATGAATCGTTAAGAAGTGAAACCCCCCTCAAATCAGTCGATTCGAATATTTCACATTTTTTTCAAGGTATTGGACCAAACTGTCCGAAACTTTGACACGTGACTCGTGATCATCTAACAATTGTCCCGACACATTCAAAATTTGGATTTAAAATAAAAATTGTTTAAATTATGTTACTTGTCAAATGTGATGCGCCACCCTCCGCCGGTAATATTGGGTTGTGGTAATCGATAACCTCACCTTTTATCCGGATAAAGGCAAAAAAGTGTCTTACGCGCTTCTATGCTAAAAGAACAAAAGAAAAAACAGTTTTCTTGTGAAAATTTAAGTTTCACAAGCGTCGCGTTCTTCCTTAGGGCCTCCATAATCACGTGTTAAAGTTTGATATTACTCAATGCCCCCAGTTTGGAGGAAAGTTTTATAAATATTTTCACTGTTTAACAATTATCATCAAGTTCGAAATCAGGGAATAAAATTCTGAAAGGATAGACAAATTAATTCCGTCGACGCATGTTTCTTGGTTTTTTTTTTTGTTTACACGTCGCGGAATTTATAAGAGTGGAAGAACTGGCTTCGATGCAAATTCATTTTGACTTGGAAGTTGTATAAACGTTACCAGCCGGGCGATCCTTTATTATTATTCAAATGAGTTACGACAATATATGGAAAGTGTGCACGTGGCGCCTGGATGACACAGTCGACCTTGAAAAGAACTGTTCTTTCTTTTTCTTTTTTTTTTTTCAATGTTCCCTCAGTCGTTCGCACTCGTTGCGAGAATCGTCTCGGAGTCAAGGTCACTGGCGTCTCCTGTCAGCGACTCGCGAATTGAAATGCAAATCCGAACTGCTCGGCGATGATGGCCCGATGACGTCACTTTGTATTTATATTCCTGACAACTTCGGATTAGATCGCGAGAGAAAAAAAAAATATATATATACACACTGTGGACTTTACTCGAGGCGATTGTACGTTCTGATTAGCTTAATTACAGGTCGCTTAAAAATATATTACTGGATATTAATATATTAAAATCGCGAATAAATCACTGAACGTCGACGAGATACAAAGTGATACATTCTAAACGAGGATATGATTGACATTTTTTTTTTTTAAGGTAGAAAGGGTTAAAGATAATTTTAGATTGATTCGTCGGAAGATATAAATGCAATTGATTAATCCGTTTTACGAGTTTAAACTCGTACTACGGGTGGGAATAATTAATTAACGATGTGAAAGACAAAATGTACGGTGAACTTAGTTAACCTTCTCGTTTTGGAATTTTCTGTTAAATTGCCACAATCACGTGGTTAATTTTCAAATAATTCGGTGCACCCAGTTTGGAGAAAAGCTTCATAAATATTTTGACGCTTAGCACTAGGTTTACGGGCGTTTTATATATACCTGTTTCTACGAGCATCCGTCAAATTGACGGGTAAACGAAAACACGCATTTTGAAAAAATCGATTTATTCAAATGAAGTCTGAATTAAACAACACTAGGCTTTACGTTTAAATGAATGATTAATAAGTAAAAAGTCCTTTTTTAAAAATTATCACGGAAATTATTGGAATGCTCGTCCTCTCATCCTCGGAGTCGGAACTAGAAAGAATGCGCATCCTTTTCTTGCTACGACACCCTTTCAAGAAGTTTCCCTCTTCACTACCCGAAGATCCTTCCATCTCTCCACTTTCAATGCAAACTTTCACTCTCATCTTTGCCTTACACTCTCTGCAATGAAGCAAATATATATATGGATTGTTTATGAAATTAGCTAGTCCGTCAATTTGACGGGTTTCGTAGAGATAGGTATACCACATACAGATTTTAATAATTAGAAAGCTTAGGAAATAATAATTGTCTGTACAAATTCTTTGGATGAAATGATTAATTTACGATACAAAAGTGGTTAAAATTAATGCTATGGTTTTTTCGGTATTTCTTTTCGAAGTTTAAGTTCCGTCAAATTGACGGGTCCCGTAAACCTAGTTATATACAGAATGACTGATAATACTTTTCCGGCTTGCGGACGTCGCAGCGTGATGGCAGTATTGATTGAAGTAGGTGTCTTATGTCCCGCAGAGGAACATGCAGTCGGCCTCGATGGCGTGGAACAGTTTCATCCCGCTGCCGCCGCCCGGTAGCAGGAGCCACGCGGGGCACGCCGGGTTGCCGGCCCACGGGGGTCACCACCACGCGGGGCCGGGGGCCGCGGCCCACCCGGTGACCGTGGCCCAGCAGCAGCAGCGCGAGCGGGAGGAGCGGGAGGCGCGGGAGCGGGAGAGGGACGCCGCCGCGAGGGAGCGCGAGCGAGAGCAGCGAGAGCGGGAGAGAGAGCACCTCGCGGCGGCGGAGCGACTGCACCGACAGGCCGAGGCGAGGGACCACGCGGTGGCCCAGCAGCGGGCCGCCTACTACGCGGCGACGGCCCCACCCACTGCCCAGCAGGTACGCCAATGGTTACTTACCTCTTCTTTGACCCTTTAGTTACGAGCGGCCCACATGCGACCAAGGTTGGGTAATTTTACGAATTTCGAGGGTTTTCGACGTATATCACGTACATCAAGTAATTCACCGGAGAAAACGTATCAAATATGGCGGACAAGACAGACGTAGGGCATGCGGTATTCGCTAGGTTATAAACATCCATCTTGTCGATTTCTTTCGTCCCATAATTTACTTTTTCATCTATCAACTTTATACATTTTGACACAAATATTGGTTACGAATCTTACGACTTCAAGTAGCCGTTATCAACCGTTATAAAGAAATGTCATTGCTCGCGGGTCGCGGGTTAGACATATGTGCCCATAATTATGAAAGTGGTCTAAGTCAAAATTGAAAAAAAAAAAAAAAAAGAGTATCAGTTATTTCACGCCACATTATTTTAAACTAAATTAATTCAATGTAATTTCGAAACAAAAAATATATGACTTAAACCACTTTCGTGGTTATGGGCACATATATATATCTATATAATATAATACTATAACCGTCGTTCCCGTTCCCAGGTGTCGCGACCGTCCAGCGTGCCGGGGAAGGTGGAGTACCCGCCCCCGCCGGCGCACTCGAGAACGTCGAAGTCGTCCCTGGCGGTGAGCGGGCACCACGAGAAGTCGGCGTCGTCGGTGGTGGGTCCGCAGCACAGTAGCCTGCCGAAAGCCGAGCCGAACGTGAGCCTGTTCAGCTACTCGACGTACCAGCCGCAGCCCTCGTACATGCACGACATCAAGGTGAAGGGGGATCTGCAGCACAAGCAGCAGCAGCAGCTGTCCAACAAGAGCATGTCGAGCCTCGAGAGGGACCACCACGGCCGGGACATGCTGTCGAGCGCGCCCTCGTCGATGATGTCGGACCACAAGAGCTCGGTGATCGTGAAGAACGAGGGCAGGGACCTGCCGAAGGCCCCGCCGGCGCCCCACTCCTCCAGTCCAAAGATGATACCCTACCTGAACGTCCAGTCGGTGGCGGCGCCGCCGCCGCCCCAGCACAAGCCCCCCGCGGCCTACGAGTACCGGAGTCCTACGCAGAGTCCGCACCACCTGCACCACCTGGACGGGCTGCAGGCCGCGAAGGGTCTCCCGCAGGGCCACCACCGACCGACGGGGGGCCAGCTGCCGACGAGTCACGGGCACCCGACGCATCCGCACAACCGACAGTCGCCGCATCCGCAGCATCCGCACCAGCCGCCCCACCCGGCGCCCGCGGAGTCGCGCTATCTGAGCCGGTCTGAGCCCGGGCTGCCCTACGCCACCCCCAAGTCCTCGTACCCCTACCCTCACCCCCCGACTGCCTCGCCCACCGCCCACTACACCACCCCGAGTCCGGGGTCCAAGCCGAAGGTGAGCAGTCCGGCGCCGCCGCACATATACGGGAAGCCCAACAGCGGCATCATGACCGGGACCCCGGTGTGCCGGGCGTCCGAGCCCGCGGTCGCGGCGCCCCTGCCCCTGACCTCGAAGGCCGGGAGCTCGCCTTATCAGCAAGTGCCTCACCACCACGGGGCGCCACCTCCGCCGCTGCCGCCGCCCGCCCACAGCAGCAGGTCGGTCTACGACTCGCGCGGCTTCGCGGGGGCGCTGCCCCAGTCGAAGCTGCCCCCGCCGCCCCTGCACGGCTCGCCGCCGACCGCGGCCTCGGCGCCAATGCCTCTCTCCAGGGCGGGCGCCCACCCCGCCCACCACCCGGGCTCCCACCAGGCCCAGCAGCAGCAGGTCCACCACTCCCAGTGCGCGCCCGCCGCCGCCACCTTCCAGACCCAGCCGCTCGACCTCGGCGTGGAGAGGTCGGGCTCGCCCAAGAGGAAGGCCCCGACGCCCACCGACGCCGGGGGCCAGCCCGTTGCTCTGGAGGTCTGCAAGAGGCGCCGCACCGAGGAGCCCCAGCCGCTCTCGCTGCAGTGCGTGGGCCCGCCCATGCTCTCCAGGGTCAGCGAGCCCAGTCCCCTCATCGCCTCGGCCGCCACCTCCATCACCACCGTGGTCAACACCGCCCTCCTGGTCGGCCAGCCTGGGCAGGCCCAGGACCGGCTCCTGGCCACCCCGGTTAGCCCCGCACCCCGCACCGCCAGCGGCGACGGCTCTCTCAGGCCCGCCTCCACCGGCAGCGTCGGCTCCGTCAACGCCAACCCCGCCGCCCCCAGTCCTGCTCCCGCGCCCGCTCCCAGTCCCGCTCCCTCCGTCGCCCCCAGCCCTGCTCCCAGCGCCCCCGGCACCCCCGCCAAGGCCAACTCCGCGGCTGCGGACAGCGAGAAGTCCAACAGCCCCGCTCCTAGGCCCCCCAGCACCACCAGCTATCCCGTTCACAAGCTGAAGAAGGCCTGGCTCCAGAGGCACTCCGGGGAGGACGGCACCGAGGACACCACCGGCGTCGTCGGAAGCGGGTCCTGCGTCACCCTGCCCCTTAATATCGCCCAGGCGCCCTCGCAGCCCATCGCCAAGGAGCGCGAGAACGCCACCGTGCCCAGCACCGTCAACTCCATTCATAATATCGGCAGCATGGCCGTCAATAGTATTATCAAGAGCAAGGTCACCGCGAAGAGCGGCAGGAAACCTGTGACCAAGGAGGCCCTCAATGGGCATGCGACCGATAACAAAAGTCTCCAGGAGGACTCGTCCAGCAGCGACCCCGAGAGGAAGTCGCCGCCTAAGAGGAAACCGCCCAAGGTATCTATTAGACTGAACCGTGAACACGTGCTTCTCGTTGCCTAGTTGGATCTACACCTCCTCATCCTGGGAATCCGGCGTCCGCAATGTATTAGGTGGAGTTGGGTCTTTCCTATTAAGGGCATCGGAAGGGTCTCTATCGTTCATGAAACTCTTCGACGAAATTGGTCTAGCGAATCGTTTCAAACTTTAGGGTGTATACTAGGAGTATATAAGGACGGTCCTGACACCCATGAGATTTTATTTATTTTTTTAATTTCTATAAACATTTCTTAAAAATTGAAATTTCGTGGGTGTCAGGACCTTACATCCTCCATTTCCCGTTGTATAGTATGAAACGATTCGCTGGACTCAGTTGGGAATAAAGTTTCATAAACAAAACCCCTTTTGACGCCACTTTCATATCACCTTAAGGGGCTACAACACTTTGGGGCCTGATAAGAAGAGTTATGGATGGAAAGTTTTCTTTAGATTACAACTGATTGGAAAATGTTATTAACAAGCGCTTAGTGTACAGCTGTTAAAGTACGAGAAAGAAATTTTTTTTTTTTCGAACAAAATGGCGGCGACGTAGCCGGTCCGTGTAAACGTCTTTTTTGGAAGCGTCCAAACAGCGTGCAGAAGTAACCATTTTGTTCGAAAAAAGAATTTCTTTCTGTATTTCAATATTTGTAAATTAAATGCTGATTGGCAGATATTTCATTTTGCTATTTTGTAGGAAAACATTCCCAAAATAGCTTTTTTTTAGGCATCGAAGTAGTGTAACTCCTTAATTACGATATTTACCCTGCAATTGAATATTTTGGAGAAACAAGAGTAGTTTAGCTATCAATTTTGAGTATCTGTAATAGTAGGCTAATGACTATAGTGTTTGACACTGAAATTGTAGATAAAAAGTTTTAAAAGATTTGTAACCTTGTATTTTCGTACAAAGAAGAAAATTAATGATATTTATACTTGGTCGTAGAAAAATTTATATGGCTGAGATATTAATTTTCGAAACGTGGGAATTTGCTTTGTGACAAGGATTTTTTATTAACGTTAAATATTGTAATCCGGGCACGTGTTTCGTCGAGGAACTTTAATTCAGTCAATTAGCCATTCGCTATTCATAATTAGTCTCCTTCATTATACGTTAATTAATTGTACGAGTGATTTCTGTCACGTATACAATGTATAGGCACGCAAGTGATGCAATCAATCTTTTATATAACTGATTATTCATGTAAAATATATGCATCAATCGCGTTGTCAGAGATGTTCATGAATAAGTCATATTTAGAAATTTAACGTAACGCTTTAGTATCATCAACTTCGCATAAAGTGAACGATGAATAAATTTTATTGGTCATCGGGCGAAAGGAATAACAATTACATGTCAGATATTCCAAACAAAGAGTAACTCTGCAAAGTATGCGATGTAGAGTCGTTCGGAATTTAATATATTCGTTTTTTAACGTATAACAAAAAGTACAAATGCAAGTACGTTTATTTAGTAACAATTATAGGATGTTGAATGTAAAATTCCGAATGATTGTGTAGCTCCAAAAGGATTATTAACTCCAAAAAAATTCAGCGTCGCTCGGGCATTGTTAAGCGTACCGTGATATATTTATTTTTAACGTATAATGAAAAGTCACAAATGCAAATACGCTTATTCAGTAATAATTATAACACTGTAGGATGCAAAATTGCGAGTTATTATGTAGCTTTAAAAGGATTATTAACTCCAAAAAGATTCAACGTCGCTCGGACATTGTTAAGCGTACCGTGATATATTTATTTTTAACGTATAATGAAAAGTCACAAATGCAAATACGCTTATTCAGTAATAATTACAACACTGTAGGATGCAAAATTGCGAGTGATTATGTAACGCCAAAAAGATTCAACGTCGCTTAGACATTGTTAAGCGTACCGTGATATATTTATTTTTAAAGAACAATGAAAAGTCACAAATGCAAGTACGCTTATTCAATAATAATTATACGCTGTAGGATGCAAAATTGCGAGTTATTATGTAGCTCAAAAGGATTATTAACTCCAAAAAGATTCGACGTTCGCTCGGAGGTTGTTAAGCTTCGGGTATGTCCCGGATTCCCCGAATACGGAGGTGCGCTTTATCTCTAAAGCTACAGTGCTTCTTTCTGTCCTTTCTTTGGCTATTCTCTTTTTGTCATGTGCTTGCATGCCGGTGAATGGAATGGTCTTGTGGCACGAGTTTTGTCGAATGCATTCGCTTGGGGGACACGAACCCCGAGAGACCTTTGTGCGCCCCACGGTACTACCGGTACTTTTCGCAGTATACCTGGCAAAGGAAAGGACATTATTCGTATTTCGTTTTGAATACTCTTCCATTCAGCAGGCCGAGGCGCAGTCACTTGAGTGAAGTGCTCAGACGACTCGCTCATTTATGGGAATTTATTACGTGTCACGACCTACAGTGAAAACGAACTGCTGGGGTACCGGTTTTAAATGGCGCGAAACTCGTTTTCGGCACTCGCTGATTGTCGGCATACACGCGAAAGGCATTCCTTCTGCTTATTAAAGTTATATTGATTAAATTCGACGAGAACTCATTTGTTTTTCAATTAATCTCTTTTGGTATTTAATGTATCAGAGATTTTGACATTTCTATAAATAGGTTGGGGTTGAAAGACGTGAACCATAACGGTACACTGTCTGGTATGATCGAGTATTTATGTTCCTGGAAATTCATTCATATTTCTTATTTATCGTGTATAATGAAGAAAAAGTGATATTAGAACAATCCGTAAAAGCTGCGGTAGTTAAGATGGGAAATTATTTACGTGAATTGATATGCATTAAAATGGAATTACACATTTTTATTAGTGGAGTGTTAGTCACCGGTATTCAAATATCGCGCGCGTATGGACGCCATCATGGCTGCCGCCATGTCGACCCCTGATTGGCGGACGCTTTCGACTCCGGCGAGTTAACTGAATAAAGGTGCGAGTGTCGAGTGTTTTGGAATATCTCGGTCGATTGTTGGACGAACAGTAATTTTAATCCTTTTGCCGGTGATTAGCGAACCAAAGCAAGGCGTAATGGACACAATAATGCTTGATAAAAAAGAGGTATTACCGTAAAACTGATCGGGCAGGAAATTGGCGAGTACTCGTCGTGGAGGCCGACATAACCTCACTTGTTTCACCTCTTCAAGCTCTTTGTCTAATATTCAATTTCCGTGGCGAGTGATTAGGTCTCAGGTTATTAGCGTAACGTATTACTGAAACCGTGTTTTTCTAATTGTTTAGAGAGAATATTGGTCTGTTGGATTTCATTTAATTATGTACCGCTGAAGTTAAAATTTTTGTTTCGTCTCATGATGCAATATGCATGAGTTACTTTCCGTTGAAGATGTAAGGTTTGTTTGGAATAAACCAGTACGTCCTAAACTTGCTTTGAATGTCAGGAAATATTGGAATTACACCCTTTATCTTCAATTCACATATCCTTATATTAATGTTAGAAATTAGTTTCTGCTCTAAAATATCCTCGCAAGTCTCTCGTGTGTAGAAAGGACTTCTTTAACTCATTTTAAAACAGGGCTATAGGTGAGGGGCATGCATCTTTCCGTTATCGTCATCAAAATTGAACATCGTTTCAGTTTCTGATATTTGGGTAGTGTTCGAGATTTAGAACGTCTACGTTCCTATTAGATTAGGTTTTGGATGTTTCCTGGAGTATATCGATAGTCTTTTGTATATATGTATTTTTCTGTATGTTGGTAGTCTTTGGTTTTGTATCGCATTTATGGTCATTAAGTAAGTTCAATATTAATGCAGATTTTTCTTGAGTAGTGGTTATCGTAACGTAGTTGCGTAGCCTTAGCAGGTAGCTACGACATGAGCATGAACTTCCCGACTACTTAATAATCTATGCCCTGTGGTAGGTAAAACGAAAGAAGGGCGCCGCAAGAAGGCAGCAGATCGCCACGGAAGATCATCGGCGGCGAAAGGAAGATAAACAAGGTGGAGGCCCTGGTCCAGGCAGCGAATCCAGCAACGAGAGCGAAGCTGGATCGGCTAGCGACGCCAGCGAGCAATTAGGCTCTGTCCAGCCTGCCTCGAGAGCTCGACATTCCACCGCCAATTCCAACAATACCTCGGGAAACGGTTAGTTGACGTAGCTTCTTGTAAATGGACTTCCCGTCAGGTGAACTAATTATTCACTTGCAGGGTAAGTGGTCCACGATGGCGTGTCGTACGTTGTGTCTTAACATTGCTATTAAATATATTCATATAAGGTAAACGTCAAATAGTTTTCGACACTTCAGGTGTATACTTTTGTGGACGTTGTTAAACAAAAATAGTTAAATTTTTAACACTAAATTTCTGTTTCCTTACATTGTCTTCATGTTAGCGTTGATTTTTACATTTTAGTAATTACTGCAAATGATTTTTATTTTTTAACATTTTTATCTCGAGACTTGTTAATGAGTCAGTATTAAAATTTTTGTTGTTTTATTGAAAATGAATTTGTGGAGTTCTTTTTCAAGTGTCTTTAACTGAGATGTCTACCTTGATCCAGTCTCGTTCACGCCACTCGCGGTTTTCCTATACAGTTGTTTCTTTCGTTAGCTTAATTACACCGAACCGTTAAGACGAGACGTACGCAAAGGGTCTCTGATTTTTGGTATAATTATGGTACGATAAGTTACTGTTTTCTGTTCAGGGAACAACAAAGAGCCCAGAAAACGAGGAAGAAGACCAAAAACCTCAAAGGGCAATGAAGTAGGAAGCGAAGATCAGCAACCACGGCAGAAAAAGGAACGCAGAGAAGAGAGCACCAGCGGAAGTGGCAGTGGTCCAGGTGGAGGAGGTGGAGGATTCCTCCGGAAGCCTCCTATCAGTCAGCTAAAAAAAACTGGAGAGAGCTGGTTACAGGATGGTGCATGCTTCGAAGTTGCTCCTAAGTTGGCCAAGTGTCGAGAGTGCAGATGGACCCCGCACCAACGTTCCAAGAACCTGACTCAAAACATCTTCTGCAGGTTTTATGCCTTTCGCAGGCTGAGATATACCAAGAATGGACAGCTGGCCATTGCAGGATTCAGCGACCCGCACAAAGACGCTTCTGAAGTGAGTTTTTTTGTTTATATGTAATTTATTACCGAGTTGGGCAACATGCTATTTGAAATGTTATTAAAAGTTTTAGTCTTCATACTCAAAATGACGTATTTGCTTCCTAGTTTATTAGATCCGAAAATAATTTATAATTTCAATATTAATCTTCCGTCAGATTTTCACATTCCATTTTTGTATGCACCTTGACGATGTGTTGTCATTGCTTCGATGCACCTTTTAATTTAACCCTAGTTATTGAATAATTCTTATACCATAGGAACTGTAGAACTTGGCGTTAGATATAACACTTTTATAGACTATTAGTAGGTGTTTGAATGTCTTTCGTTAAAAAGATTTTATACATTGTTTCAAATAGTTTCAATTTAAGTATTGCCCAGCTTTGGTACATCGTCAGTGTTATGTTCAAATACCTAAAGGTCAAATGAAACAGCACAGCGATGCAACGTTGCAGGAAGATCTAAGGCTATGGCTACCAGGAAGGGATAGTTCCGAGTGCAAGGACGAGAAATCCGATAAGAATGATAAGGACAGATGCAACAGGGAAGATCTTGACTTGGAAATGGCTCACCGACTCTTACGTCAAGTTGGTGACCAGTTCTGCGATTTGCTTCACCAGGAGAAAAACGCACTTCAAGAACACATGGCTGAAGGTATGTTTTCTCTACATGATTTATCTCAAAACGAGGAATAAATAACAGTCAGAACAATACATCTCGAAAACGTTTCAGGCAAATATTTTCTCATCGTTAACTTTATTAATCAATCGTGAAGTACAGACTCAACTGCAACGGAGAAATACTTGTCAATTAAAACCAAGTTGCTCTGTCTTCTGTTATTTATTCTCCATAAACTTAACCGTGGGACCCATCGATGCATTATGTTTTCAACCGATAACACTCATCGATTCATTTTTAATGACGTAACTTATTTTAACAAGCTGATTCATCGTAATCATTTCATTATACATATTGTTGGAGCCTAGCGTGCATGTTAGTTAACTGTTTTTTTTTCCTCCAGAATGCATAGATTTACTTTTAATCAGGGCATGCAACCGGTATTATATTTGATAGCAACATTCTTGCAATTATATGGTTAAGTTTTGAAATAATACCAGTTGCATGATTTAATTTCGCTGTTATATCCTCCCTGGTTATATATATATTTTTTTTTGAGATAGCACAAGTGTTGCAAACCAAATTTTGCCCGCATGAATTAACGCTTTTTCGCTTTGACTATCGATTGCTCCTGACAGCGTCTTCGGGGGTTGTAGACGGAACCATTGCGTGGAAACGAGTCGTCCAGGGTGTCCGGGAGATGTGCGACGTCTGCGAGACAACCCTCTTCAATTATCACTGGGCCTGTGCAAAATGCGGCTTCGTCGTGTGCATCGACTGTTACAAGGTACGGCCACAATTAATATTTTACAAAAAGAGGGTGCAGATCTCGCAGTGCATAATCCCAGCTTTCAATAAACCCGTGTGTCGATAAGTACTCCAAGGATAAATGAAAAATCACGTCCCTTCCCACGGTACACTCGTGTAACTGTTATTAGAGATTACATTTAAAATTGCATATCTCTGTGTTAAATGTACCAATCAGTTCCGTTCATGGGCTTAAAAAACGCGGAAATATATATTTGGCGTGAAACTCTACCGAGTTTTTTTAATATTAACTTTGATGTGATATGAAAGGCGCTGAGAAATTTAATCTACGTTAATAAATTGAAATTCATCTATACCGCTTTTGGTGGTGACGTCATTTTGAATACTCAAGTGGTACTAAAATCGCGGTAGAGTTGTAACCTTTGTGGAAAGATCTTTTTCACGTTTTGCAGTACACATTTGCCTCATTATTTTAAATACTTTAAGCTGGGAGGCTGCGAGGTTTGTCACTGAATTATTTAATATCTCAAGATTCTGGAAAGATGATCTACTCATGATGAAAGTAAAACCGTTTGATGATCGATGATAGTAAAGAAAAATCGAGCTTTTTAACACTGATATTCGTAAAGACTAAGGAGTATAATGGGAGGTGTGAGGAGGTGTCAGGTGTGTTACATATGTGATATGATGTCCCGCAGGGTCGCAAAAACGGAACGATAAAGATCTGGGGCGAGAGCGGAAAGGACAGGGACGACTTCTCGTGGCTTTTGTGCACGAATCGACAAGCCCACGAGCCGGAGAGACTTATGCTGACTCAAATCATAGCTGGTGATAGCCTTCTCCGTCTGGGCCAGCGATTACACGAATGCCGCTCGGAGTGGGGGATTCCCCAGCACTGCGCGTGTTCCCTGGCTACGCCATCGGCAGCTAACGAGGTCCTACGTAACATGATAAAAGGCGACTCGATAACGGTGCTCAACGGGAACGTGAAACTCGAGCCTAAAGACGAGAAGAAGGAGAGCGAGGCGAACGGATCGTCCGAGACGAAGGCCAACGGCGAGGACAAGAACTCCCCGCTCAACTGGCTGGCGGATGTGGCTCTGCAGAATCAGGAGAAGAACGACAGTGGCTCCAGCTCGGACTCCGACGAGGACCGGGATGGCAACTACTCGACCCTCAGGGAGCTTCTCATCAGGCCTTCCCATAAGTCCAACGGCAGCGGTTCCCGGTCGAATTCCCCGACGAACGCGTCGGGCAACTCCAACGCCACCGGCGGGACCGCCACCCAGAACAACGTCACCAAGGGTGGCAAGAAGTCCAAGATGGACACGCTGGACGAGGTGATATCCAGCGTTATCGAGCACAGCGTCAAGAAGGAGAGAGAGAGTGGACTGGACGGGGACGAGAAACCTAGGGAGCTGAAGCACTTCGTCAGGAGGTACAAGTGGACGCAACGAGGGCGAGAACCACTTCCAATCAGGATCATGACCCTGACGGAGAGCAAGAGTTTGTACCCTGATGTGCCGCACTCCTGGCTGTGCGATGGGAAGCTACTCAGGCTTAATGACCCGAACAATCCCAACAACTACAGGATCTTCCAGGATCAGTGGAAGCGGGGACAGCCGGTCATCGTCTCCGATGTCTCCAAGTCGCTTGATATGGAACTCTGGCATCCGGACTCCTTCGCCAGGGACTTCGGCGATGAGAAGAACGACCTTATCAATTGTATGACCGGGAACCTCGTGCCCAACCAACCCATGCGGAAATTCTGGGAGGGATTCGAGCACTTCTCGAAGAGGCTCAAGGACGAGCGGGGTAACCCGATGTTGTTGAAGCTCAAGGACTGGCCTCCTGGCGACGACTTTGCCGAATTGTTGCCGTCTAGGTTCGCGGACTTGATGAAGGTTTTACCGCTGTCCGAGTACACCCATCGTAATGGTAGGTTGAACCTGGCGAGTCGCTTGCCGGACTGCTTTGTCAGGCCGGATCTAGGGCCTAAGATGTACAATGCCTATGGGTCGGCTCTCCATCCTAACAAGGGTACGACCAATCTCCATCTTGATATTTCGGATGCCGTCAACGTCATGGTCTACGTCGGCATCCCGAAGGACGGCGATAACGACGAACATGTTAAAGGTGGGTGTTGTTACGGATTGGAGTATGGTTGAATCTTACCAAAGATATTAAGTCGCTGGGGCTTTGGTCAGGAACACTAGGAGGTATGTCTAATGTGTTTGGTTAAACGTTTGCAGAAGCATTGCGGGCGATAGATGAAGCAGGCTGTGATATCCTTACCCGTCGACGAGTTCGCGAACGCGGCGAGGCACCTGGGGCACTTTGGCACATTTATGCTGCCCGGGACGCCGACAAGATCCGCGACCTCCTCAATGCAGTCGCCCTGGAACGAGGTGCTCGCCTCGAGCCACATCACGATCCGATTCACGATCAGAGCTGTTATCTCGACGGGCCGTTAAGGGAGCGACTCTATCGCGAATACGGCGTCGAAGGGTAAGATTTCATGTAGCGTATTAGAAGGGAAGCTTATTTCCTTGAATCCCGTTTAAATGCCGGTTTCTCGATAAGCCAGTGTTCTAAATCGTTGTACCATTGTCCTGACACTTTCGCTTCTCAGATCAGAGCTTTTAATAATTGTATGTCGATCGAAATACGAGTGCTCGACGCCATTTTGGTCCTGGTCTAGGCTGTGAAAGAACCAAATTTTTTCTCATAACTAAAATGCATTTTTGAATGGAAAACAGAACGTGATTTCATAGTGCAATTATTGAACTTGATGTGTAATTATTTTTGTCAAGATATGTTTAAAAATTGCCGACTCTTTGACCTCGTGGAGCAATCTAACGACGCCATTTCCCTACTTCAGGTACGCGATAGTGCAGTGCCTGGGAGACGCGGTGTTCGTCCCGGCAGGTGCGCCCCACCAGGTGCGCAACCTGCACAATTGCATCAAGGTAGCGGAGGACTTCGTCTCGCCGGAGAACGTCTCCCACTGTTTCCACCTGACGCAGGAGTTCCGCGCCCTGTCGGACACGCACACGAACCACGAGGACAAGCTCCAGATCAAGAACATCATCTACCACGCGGTGAAGGACTCGCTGACGGTCCTGGCGAGCGCCAAGGACGAGACCCTCTCCAAGGCGAAGGCCAACAGCGAGGTCAAGGCCAAGGAGGAGACGTAGCGGTGGGCCCCTCGACGCGATCGCAAGATCTCCCGATTAACGATTGACTGAGTCTCGCCCCGTGGCCGAGGCGAGCACACGGATACCTCAGGGTGGGCCTCTCGGTGCTCCCGGATGACGTCCCGCGGGAGTCCTCGCGGAGACCACCCGGGATATGAGGGATCGCTTCTGCGTACGACGCCGACCCGCGCCGGTGTTTGTTGTGATATTTGAAACGAGTAGCTCTCGAGAGAGTTTGCGTTTTCCTTTGTCCCCGATTGGCTGAGCCAACGGGCTCTAGCTGTTGCGTCATCCTTTGAGTTCCCTTGATATCTCTCCGCGGTCTTAGGTTTCTCCTCCGATTAGAGATGTGACCAGTCGGATACTTTAACAACTCGAGTTACTCGAATTCAAAAGCGTTGTTCACATGCATTCTACACGGCGAGGAGAGTCAAATGACTCGATTAACGGCGACTCGAGTCGGAGTGAAGTAACGAGTCTAGATTACTTCATCGACTCGAGTCACTCGACATTGTCAAATCGTGTCAGTGGCGAGGTGGAGAGGAAAACAATTCCAATGACTTTTACTCAAATGGACACAAGGCGTGATTTGTACTTCGGTACGAGTAACTCCCTCTCGCGCTTACCCTCGTAACTCGCATTCATTTGGACCTATGACTCGAGTTGACTCGAATACATGCTTGACTCCAGTTTAACCAGTTAAAGTACTCGACTCGTCACATAATTATTCCCCCCGATTCTTACGCCTTTTTCTATTTTTCCCCCCCCGCGATGCACTTCGTCCCGAGGATGGTCTCGCGGTAGGAGCCGGACATGAAGTCTGCGCCGTGATTTTGGTTTACCGATCCGTGGACCCCGCGTCCATTTACTATTGTGATACCAGGATGGACTCTTCGGCTCATGCGATTCTTTGTAATTAATTATATCGTGCCTGTATCCGATACACACACACACACTGTCTGTACTATGTAAATGTAGATAATCGATATGCTAATTGTAAACAAATTCCTAATGGCGGTTGCGAGGATTGCGCGGGCAGGCTCGGTGGAGGAATGAGGGTAGGCTTTTCTTTTTCTTTTTTTACCCCACGTTTTTTCTTTAGAGAGATACCTTTGTGCAATTAGGCTTCGGTGGGAAAAGGGATATATCTTGGACGCGCTTTCCATCGCGGATGTCGAGTTTTCGTCGCGATTCCTCCGCTTAGGGGAGTAGAGATAGACCTGGGGGGAACTTTGGCTCGTTAGGCGTTTTTACGATTTTTTATGTAACCGTAGGCGATTTTGCACGCGTACCACTGCCTCATGGCCCGATTGACGAGTGTCATGGCGACGTTTCCGTCAATCTGGGAGCTGTTTTTCCTACGGTCGAGGCTTTGCGTTTCATTGCCGTGGGGAATCCTTGTGCTCAATGCGAATTACCGCTTCTTTCGTTTACTTGTTTCCACGATTTCTGCCCGTGACATCTATCCCGGGAAAACCGGCGTCTGTACGGACCACTTATCTGTATACTAACTGGATAGTTGATATCTATTTGCAGGGTTGAGTAAGTAAAATACCCCAGGTAGTTTACGTCGTTCTTTGCGGTAAATTACTAGGTATTTTACTCTAGTTTAATACGTCATGTAAATTACCTGAATATGGGTCTTTATCTTTCTGGATTTCCTGTTCCCGTTTCTAACGGTCATATGACCTGATATTCATTGTTACGAATGTATGGAAAACTAGAATGTCGAAGCCTAGATCCTTTTTAATGGTTTACTCCTACTTGCCATTGTTCTTTATTACTTATTTCTTCTTGACGCGTCACTACCCAACCCTGCCCATTTGTTCTATACGGAGAGGACTTCGATGAATTTAAGGCACACTAGCGCCACTACATATGGGCAGCGGTACTAATTGAGTTTACGGGTGCGCATGTGCAAAAATTTGGAACCGTCAATCTGTCAATCGCGATAATGGCAAATGCTGAAGGCATAAAAAAACTGAAGAGACATAATGTACGGGAAAAACGGTTCGCAGGGAATTTCGTAAAAAAGCTTCGACTAAAAGAAAAACCGGTTATCTTTTTTGCTCTTAAGGATTTTAATGGAAATGGCTATTATTATTTTTCATTTCCAGTACATTCATTCGACACCTCTTATGCTATCTATGGTTGAGTGACGCGTTTTCTTGACGCATGCGCAAATACTGCGATATTAGTTCATGTGCCCATGACCAGAGGGCGTTGGTCGCCTTTTGTCGGATATCATATCCAGTTAGTATGTAGATTAGTTGTACCGGAGACAATGCTGGATTTCTTCCTTGGCGGTTATTGGCGGTTTTCTTTTTCTCCGTTGCGAGGCGACGTGAATTTTGTAAATTTAAATTAGGCACGAAATTGCGGGAATCGAGGGTAGGGATCGACGACTCGCGAGGTTAATGTTAATATTAAGGGGGAGATATGCGAGAATTGTTCGAGGAAAACGCAAATTTTGTTCCGTTTAGCTGAATCTAGCTGATAATGGAGTCTTCTCGCCGTTAAGTAACGATCGAAAGTCGAATGGGATTGTGGAGAGCTGTGGAATGGAAGGAATTATACCCCGGGATTTCACTTAAGCCTAATTTTTAATATAAGGGTGATCGTAAAGGCTGGTTTTCGTGGAGGCGATTAAGGCGATCTGAAAGTGGCCTCGTTTATGAAACTTTTCTCCTAACTGGGTGTACCGAAACGTTTCAAACTCTACAATGTCAATATGGAGGCTATAAGGAAGGTCCCGATACCCGTGAAATTTCAAATTTTATAACAATTTGTTTATAGATATTTCAATGATTTTGTATAAATAATGAAATTCCCCTGGGTATCGGGACTTTCCTTATAACCTATATATTCAGGTTGTAAAGTTTTAAGCGACTCGGTACACCCTGTTCTGAGATAAGTTTCATAAACGATCAACCCCTCAGATCCCACTTTCACATCCCCTTAAGGTGATATGAAAGTGTCATATGTTGTACATACCAGAAAGGTCCAAATATTTATAAAACTTTTCTCCAAATTGGGTGCGCCGAATTAATTCCGTAATTTCATCACGAGGTTAAAATGGCCCTAAGTAGAAACGCGATTGTCTTGAAATTTCATTTCTCGAATGAAATTTCTACTTATCTCGGACACGAACGCAAGAAAACATTCTTTTTTTTTCTTTTCGAGAAATGAAAATTCAAGAGCATCGCGTTCTTCCTTAGGGCCTCCATGATCACGTGTTGATGTTTTAGATAAGTCGGTGGACCCAGTTTGGATAAAAGTTTTATCAACATTTTCGCGTTTAGGTGTATACAAAATGAGTTTTTTTTATGACACCTTAAGGAGTCCCGGGAAAAAGGGTTGTTAAGGGAATCTTCAAAGTGCCAACGCCGAGCGATCTGTCGGGGACGCGAGAAGTGAGGTTAGGTTCCAGGTAGAGATGGAAATTTCTGGGGAAAGTGGGACAAGTTGAATATAACATACGAAGCTTCCGAAGGATCGAATTCCCGAGGGTTTTGTTGAGCGCGCGATCTTTGAAACGAATTAAACACAAAAAGAAACAAAAAAATGTAAATGGAAAATCGTTGCTATTCGTGTACCGATTTTTTGGGCAGGCTTGGAAAAGCTCTGGCGATTGTCTTTCAATATTTGGAATATTTCGATCAGCGATTTCTCGCTGAGAAATTATCGCGGATTTTCGTAATCGTAGCCACGTAACCAGTGTACAATGAAAACTAGTGATGGGAGGAGATACAAGAAACAAGGATGCGACCAATCAGAGCCGCGCGACTTTGCGACGCAATTATACGTTGTACCCTGGGAGACATCAATGCCCTCCCAACCTGCACAGGCGATGCCGTGTCTGCAGGGGAGGCATTCATGTCCGCCATTGTACAAGATACGATCCTCGACATTGGAAACATGTAACACCTGCGAAAAAAAGGGGAAAGAAAAAAGAAGAAGATAATTGTACGGATAGTTATCACGTTAAGGTGATATGAAAGGGACGTACTATATATATGAAACGTTAAAATACTTATATAACTTTTCTCCAAAGTGGGTGGTCCGAATAAATTTGAAACTAGCGAATGATTATGGAGGCCCTAATTAAGAAAGCGATGCTCGTGGAATTTCAATTTTTAAAAAATAATGTGATTATGGTTCTGGTTCAGGATAGACGAAAAATGTTCTTGTTGGAAAATGAAATTTCAGGAGCGTCGTGTTTTTTTTTTTAAGGTCTTCGTAATCACGCTGTGAAGTTCCAAATGATTCGGTGCACCCAGTTTGGAGATGAATATTAATATTTTCACGTTTTGGTATATAGAGTGGCCATTTAATGTCGCCTTAACGATATATCTCGTGATTCGCGATTTTTCTTCCCGGTTGTAAATCTGAATTTGCGTCCCGGTTCCGAGGGGGAATTAGGAATAGGAGATAATTGATGAGACAACTCGAGAGAGGGAAATTTTGGGTGATACGGAAAGGGGGAGGAGGAATGCGAAGTGAGAGGGGGACACGACGTGTATACCGAAATCCTGGAATTTGCAATTTCTTTGATCTCAATATTTGTCTAGCATACAACGACTTGATTAAATAATATTTAACGAGTAAAGTTTAAAGTAAAGTTAGGCGATAACGTGCCGCGAGCTACTCTTAGCGAAAGGCGGGGGCAAAGATAAAGGCGACCGATAAGGGGAATGATAAAAGGGGAAAGTAGAGCCTCGATGCGAGAGCGCCAAGGCAGTGTATAAAGTTGAACTGGGAAAAGCGAAAGAAAAAAAGATGAGTGAGAATAATAGAGTCACGGGGAAGAGTTCTAGGGAAAAAAATGCGTACTCTGTGTATTATTAATAAAAGTTGCTGTCGGCGGATAAGAGGGAAAAAGAAAGATGGCGGAAAGCAACGCGCGACACGCTACGCCCCCTATTCGTTCTCTTGCTACATGTACATATATTCACCGATACCCTACGTTTATACATGCGTATATGTATACTTATACATATATAAATACGAGTGGAAGAGAGAGAGAGAGAGTAGTGTTAAGGCTAACGCACTCCACCAACGCGAGAGAGAGACACTTTACATGCGTAGATAGGTAGTCCATTTATTATTACCTTCATTATTCATTATATATATATTTGTATGGACATGTATGAATATATATGTAAAGAGTAAGCATCATTATTACGATTAGTTACTACGGAGGATACGATATTTAAATGTTGCTGGATGTTCGCCCGATTAGGGGAGGAACGAGATATGTGCGGTTTAGAAGTAAGCGCGGAGGTTCTTCGTCCGGTGGTTTGTGATGAGAGAGAGAGGGACAGAGCGAGTGCGGTTCGCGTGTGTATATGGCTTTTGTGAGTGAGAGGGAACGACTGGTTGTCGCGTTACGTGTGTATGAGACGAGGCGATATGTAGAGAGATGAAAAACGGAGAGAATGAGAGCGAGAGGCCGTGTATTGGGGGCGGATGTGGGAACGCATGAGACATTGTACAGCCCTTTAATCCTTGATAAGCGATAAATGAAACAGATATGTCCTGACTCCTTATAGCGTCCCGCCACCACCGCCCGCCATCGGCCGCCCCCAGTCATAGCAGTTATGACCCGCGGGCCGGCGGGTTTGAGTATAATTTTTTGTACTGTGTAAATGTAAGAACATACGTTTGAATAAGAAAAATGTTTATATTATGAAAACTTGGAGTTCGGTCTTTGGGTCTCCTTCGGGCTCCGCTCGGTCCGGCTCTTCCTTTCCTTTTAGTTGCGGGAGGATCCGCGACGCGGCGCTCTCGTCGCCTCTCGACTGGGTCTCGCGCTAAATACGGCTCGAGGTATAAACAGAGATGAGTTGGGAGATTGCTCACGGAAGGGATCGTGCGATCGCATCCTGTGCTGCCCTCTGGTTTCGTACGTTACCTTTCACCGTTTTTTGCCCCCAAGGGCGGCGCAACGAATTTCTGATAGGAGCTCGCGCACTCGCGATGGCGGTACCATCTACCAGTGACTGTTGGCGGCTCACGTACTCGTGACGGTAATACCATGCGGCAGTTGACGGTGGTGGCTTACCTACGCTTACAGACACTGCTCGCTTTTGATGGTGAGAGTGCCGGAGAGTGCGGCACTCTGCGGCACTCTCCGGCACTCTGCGGCATTCTCCGGCGCTCTCCGACACTATGCGGCAACTCTCCGGCACTCTAGGGCACTCTAGGGCACTCTAGGGCACGCTAGGGCACTCTACGGCACTCTACGGCACTCTACGGCACTCTAGGGCACTCTACGGCACTCTACGGCACTCTACGGCACTCTAGGGCACGGATTTTACCGCCATGTTATAACGCAAAGGGTCCCTCCTTTGCGTCACGACACGACGGATTTTACCTCCATGTCATAACGCAAAGGGTCCCCCCGGGTATTTTGACGTTTTTTATATATAGAATGACCCTTTCATATCACCTTAAGTGTATACATGTGTTTATTATTATATATATATATATTTTTGGTCCACAAATTATCTATTGTCGCCGATAAAGATAGATTGGGGTCGGCGCAGGTCGTTCAATTTTGCCAGCTAGAATTACACAAATGTATTACACAAAAGCCATAAACCCCTATTGAGAAATGCCTCGTAGAGTGCAACGGTTGCAGAAATGAAGCACCCTGTGAGCCCCATAATCCTTGACATTATGACCCGTTTGTTGGAGACGGGAAAAGGTCAACCACCACCTTCATCCTCGATTCCTTTTATGGAGGACACGATCTCTGATCGATCTTGTACTACGGCGGACATGAATGCCTCTCCTGCAGATACGACATCGCCTGTGCAGCATGGGAGGGCATTGATGTCTCCCAGTGTACGACCAATCGTTCGGATCGCTAGTCCCCGATATTACTTCGCCCGTCTTTATAGCTTCAAGAGTATAGCACAAAAAATGAGAACAATTCAGGACCTGGCCGGGGAAACGTAATGCTCGTAGATAAATTTTCCTCCTGCGAAGGATTTTATTTGGCGGGGATTTTGTTATTTATTAAATATAACACGTTATTAAAATAAGTTTTAGAGATTATTACAGAAAATTAAGGTGATATGAATGGCGTTTTGCTTAGTGTAACGTTAATATTGTCCTCGAATTATTACATGAATTTTACCGATGCGGATTTTCGTACCTTTGGTTTTACAGTAATTTCGCCGTTGAAAAGGAATACACGCAGAAGTAGAATTCACGGTTATAACGAGTAATGTTATTTCCTTCGACAAATGTGGACACTTGAAAATGGACCAGTAGAATTATTATTTGGATGCATTTTTCTTATATTGACAACAATAAAACGATTACCTCACTGGGGTAATAGAAATTCCATTTCATATTACTTGAACGATTTTTACACAAACTAGACGTTTGTCTATTAACTTATATTAAAAAAAAAATTCGCAACGGTCTTCAAAGGGAGAAGAGAAAAATGTTTAGCGAAAAATTCCGGGGTTCTCAGAGTATTGACCGTAGGTCACCTTTGATATTTTTCCAGGCAGTTTTTATGGAGCGTTGGTACCGTATTAGACACACCAAGTGCCGCAACATTCTTCTCGTAACTGTTAACGATCATACCACACGTAACTGTCCTTTCATTGCACGCACTCGCAATGGAGGAACAATGAACGTGACGTAGATGTACTCGGGTTTTCCTCACGAGTCCAACGACACACCTCTCGCTGTGGAATTTCCTAACGTCCTCCAGGATTTTGCAAAATCGACTCATTAATGAGTTTCCCATAAAGAAGAGTCGATACTTATATAGCAGTGGATAATTATCTCCGAGATATTTTGCCTGCAATTATTCGGAAATATTCTACGCCCTTATATGGGAGAAGTGTCGGAGTTTCATGAACTTCCAAGCTGTTACCTCACTTTGTACACGGAGCCATTTCGACATACGGGCGAAATTCGTCTGACCGTGCAGGCAATATTGGACCAAACGGTCGGGCGCCTTTAGGCGCTCTTAGTAGCCAAGGGGTTAAGGTGATATGAAAGTGTGATATATGTACATAACAAAAAGTGAAAATATTGATAAAACATTTCTTTGGAGATAAGTTTTATAAATATTTTCACCTTTTTGTTACGTATATATCACATGGTGTTGGATAAGCCCACGAAGAGGTATAAGGAGTGGAGGAGGTGCATTTTATGTCTATTTGTTGTTGGCCGTCAAATTATTGCAATTTTCTTCAGTGACACTTTGACACGTGACCGCGTCCCATCAATTGCTCTGGTAGTATCGGGAAAGTGCTCGTTGCGCGTATTATCAGACATGACAATTAAGGGCAAGGGGGGGGGGGTCGAGTAGGTGGAGGAGGTGCGACTAAGTACATTCTGTATCCGAAACTTGTATCCTTCTCGCTTTCACTTCGCGTACATCTCGCGACTCGAGTCGAGTCTCGCATTGCGCGAGAAGCAATTCGCCTCTCGAGGTGAGGTGATTATCGGAGTTGGATTATAAATATAATAAGTATATATATATACAGTCTAGAGAATCGTTCACCTCTCCGATAAGGGAGTCGTTACGGGAGTAGCCTCTTATCACATGGAGTCCCTCTGGATCCTCGTACTCCTCTTCGCCGCGATAACCGCGGTGAGAACTGCCGAAGTTTTCGTAAGTTGAAGATTTGATGAATTGCATTAGTTCGATTGTATACCTTTGTGATTGTACGAGTGAACTTTTTAAATATAATTGTGGATTTAATGGATTGCATTAGGTCAGTTGAACATTTTTGGGATTGTACGAGGGAATTTTTAAGTACAATTGTGGATTTGATGAAATGCATTAGTTCGATTGAACACTTTTGTGATTGTACGAGGGAAGTTTTTAAATACAATTGTGGATTTGATGAATTGCATTAGGTCAGTTGAACATTTTTGTGATTGTACGAGGGAATTTTTAAATACAATTGTGGATTTGGTGAATTGCATTAGTTCGATTAAACACTTTTGCGATTGTACGAGGGAATTTTTAAATACAATTGTGGATTTGATGAATTGCATTAGTTCGATTAAACATTTTTGCGATTATACGAGGGAATTTTTAAATATAATTGTGGATTTGATGAATTGCATTAGTTCAATTGAACACTTTTGTGATTATACGAGTGAATTTTGAAATGCAATTGTGGATTTGATGAATTGCATTAGTTTGATTGAACACTTTTGGGATTGTACAAGTGTATTTTTAATATATTTTTGCTCAAAGTAATTAATTATCATTTAAATTTAATATAATGTGATTATGCATCATTAGCGAACTTGTACTTTGGAAGTCCACGGGGCCTTTATTGATTACGTAAATTACCGGCAATATAAAATTGGCCAGGGTCAAGCAGTCGTTGAATTAATCATGGGATTAATTAACCAGGGATTTCGCAAATTGGCTTCGACGTTTTTTCGCACGCAACTTATGTATCGTAAAGCATGTAAAACGATGGTTTATTTCATTATAATGATTGTATGAAAGCGACAGGTGGAGTACGCCATTTATTACAATAGCCCATGTAATTCGACACATCTCTCAAAATAAAACCAAACGTCGGCAACGTAGGTATCTAAAAGAATCACTTTTACCGACGTCGATCAAGTCCCTCGACGTGTTTCGCATCACCTTAAACCCCGAAATAGGAATAAAAAGAATGTAAAGATGCAACTTGAAGTACATATCTTTTGTAAGAAAGGGTAATTGAGTGGTTTGTTATCGAAGTGACGTTGAAATGTTTCAGAATACCCTGCCGCCCCCCCTAAACACGAACTTCTCGTGTCGTTCGAGGACCACGGGTTTTTACGCAGATTTGGAGACAAATTGCCGAGTCTACCACACTTGTGACGACCAGGGGAATAAATTCACCTACCACTGCCCTGAAGAGACGGCATTCCGTCAGGACGCGTTGATCTGCGACCACGCTCACCTGGTGGACTGCCAACAAGGAACTCGAGTTAGCACCTTATCAACGGAGAACAGCAAGCAAAACCTCCATCTAGGTCCAACCGTATCGCCAACCCCAAAGAGTCCTCCAGGAGACGGTCAACCTCGTCCAGATCACCGAATTTCACCAGGAGTCAGGAAACAGGAATCTCCACCCACGACCCAAAGACCAGGACAAGGCGAAAGGATCAGCTCGGACAATCGCAGGAACTTCGACTCCACGACATCAAGATCAACGGTGAACGAGGGTCCTGCTTTTAGAAGTGCCAGGACATTCGATCCTACGTCTGGGAGGTTGAATTTCGAGGACCGTCCTGGTGCAAAGGGGTCCAGGACATTCGGTCCTGCGAGTGAGAAGGCGGTTAGAAGTGATCATCCTGGCTCAACTAATCCAAGGACCTTTGATTTCACCACCTCGAGGTCGGTCCTGAACGAACGTCCTGCGTTTGATAGCCTTGGAAGGTTCGAGTCCTCGGAAAGGGGCCAGGAGACCCGGAAGAACCTGCGTAACATTCAAAGTAGCCAGGTGGCTTCGCCATCGGCGAAGTTGGCATCCTTTGGTCGAGGGAAATCCCAGGTCGAGGGGACAGGTGGAGGTCCTGGGAGTCCGTTTCCGGATTTCCGGGATCGGTTTAAGGGACTGGGGACTTTACAGCCGCCATTTCCCCAGCCTAGATCCTTTGGGTCTTCTGGAGGGAGGACGCTTGATGGGTACCAGACCAAATCACCAGGACACGACAGACACGGTGGAAATGACAACACATCTTTGAACGTGGATTCCAGGACTTCCGGGTGGAGGGCGTTCGATGGGTACCAGATCAGATCACCAGGAAACGACAAAAACGGTGAACATAACGTGTCCTCGAACGCGGAATCCAGGTCTACTGGGTGGAGGGCCTTCGATGGGTACCAGACCAGGTCACCAGGACACGACGGACACGGTGGAAATGACAATACATCTTTGAACGTGGATTCCAGGACTACTGGGTGGAGGGCCTTCGATGGGTACCAGATCAGATCACCAGGAAACGAGAAAAACGGTGCAAATAACGCGTCCTCGGACGCGGAATCCAGGACTACTGGGTGGAGGGCCTTCGATGGCTACCAGACCAAGTCACAAGGAAACGAGAAAAACGGTGCAAATAATAAAGTACCCTCGATTGTGAGCTCCAGTTTTGAGGGGTCCCGTGGCGAACGGAGGACTTTCGAGGATTCCCATGATAGAGGCTCTTCTTCCAGGAAAGTCAAATTTGATAACACCAAGACTGCCTTTGAAAGGACTACTGTGAGCAGCAGACCCTTCAGCACTTTCTCGGATTTCTCGAAGTCCTCTATCAGGAGTCAAGCTGGAAACTATCCTTACAGTGAGACTTTAAGGTCGATACAGTTCCCTGGGTCTTCGACAACGGCAAATGTGGTGACAACAATGGCGCCGGTGATCCCAAGAAGGCCCAGCAGGGTAAACGTAGGGACCACGGAGACACCAGTGGCTGCTTTTACAGCTTCTTTGAAACCATTGGTTCCTAATGAACTGGAGATTGATCCTTATTATCCTAAAAGCTCATCCAGCACCGAGGCTTATTATACTCCTAGGGAAGGCTCTAAGGACTTGACTCCTATCAGGTTTTCCACCGTGAAGCCATTTTCTTCTTCCAAGCTCGACATTCCCGCGGTACTTCCGGATCTGAATAGTTTAGAGGATATTGTAGATCGTAGGAAGTTATTTTACATCCCGAAGGTCAAGTCTAGGTGAAATTCTGGTGGCTCTATAAAAAGATAAGATTTCTTGTTAAAAAAGAAAAGATTGAATCCAGGTTTAGACGCAAAAGGTGCTTAATGTGGGAATTTCTTTAATTTTCTTGGACTTGGTTGTTTCCTTTAAGTACTTTTGTCTTTTTATATTGAAAATTGTCCGGATTATTCATTATTAATGGATATCCAAGGAATTGCTCCAAGGGTCTTTGATCAGGTTTCTTTTTTCACGTAGAAATTGTCTTTCTGCTCGATTTCAGATTTTCACCGAATTTTTTACGTGGACAGGTTGAAGTATGTAATCGATCGTATGATATTATTTTACATATTAAACGAGATAAAAAGGTATTAGTGTTCCTGGACAAATTGAAGCGTCTATAGTTTATTCGCGGTGTGTCTCATATGTATGACATACCTTGACATTGCACAAAGATGCTCAATTTGTTACACGTATCTAATGAGTAATCTAATCAGTCTTCCATTTCATTATTATCTACTATTAAATTTAGTATCGGTGCATCGCTAGTAAGGTAGATTTATAAATAAATACTCATCCTAATAGGTAAATATTATAGCGTATTTATATCCCAAAGGTAATGAAACGAAGATACTCATTTATAGGATTAATAAATTGATAAGGCCGCTTAATAAACATCCACAACTTCATTAATAAACCAACCTCGATTTAATATAATTTTGTAATCGGTTGCGTCTGTTTTCAGTTTTTCGGAGGTTTATTAACAAATTTTGACTATTTTCCTACGGACAATTTGTAACGTCAGTTGGAGCGACGATAATTATCTAACCTGGAATCAAGTTTTAGTTTATGAATTTTCACATTTTTAACAAACATTTCAATTTGGCAGGCTTATGGTGACAGGATCCGAAAGTTGTTCTTGCGGGCCAACGGCGTACAGGGAAAGTGTTTTAATTTTGGAAATGTCAATGGAACCTAGAAGTGCTTGATTTCTTGTTGAACATCTCACTTTTGCCACGATTTTCCTGTATTAAAATTATTATTCTTTAACATAATGATTAGTATAAGCAGTATTCCATATTTAGAGAAAATGAGTATAAAAATAGTTATTCTTTCGATTGACATCAGTCACTACAAAGTACTAGTTAACTTCAGTAACAAAATAGTTGATTGTCATTCTATAGTGCTATCGTAATCATTAAGGTGACGTGATAGTGGCGTCAATCGTTTATGAAACTTTTCTTCGCACTGGGTGTATCGAATCGTTTCAAACATTACATATATGAATATGGTAATTGTAAGGAAAGTCCTGACACGCGGAATCCCAATTTGTTTAAAATTTATTTAGACATTTTCAAAATGTTCATAAAAAAAGAAAGAAATTTCATGGGTGTCAGGACCTTCCTTATTGCCTCTATATTCATGTTGTGAAGTTTGAAACGATTTGGTGCATTCAATTTGGAGAAAAGCTTTATAAACGATTGACCCCTTAAGGGGATGTGAAAGTGGCATCTGAAGGGTCACACGTTTATGAAACTTTTCTCCAAATTGAATGCACTGAAATCTTTCAAACTTTACCACGTGAATACGGAGGCTATAAGGAAGGTCTCGACACCCATAAAATTTCATTTTTAACAAACAATTTTTGAAATTTTGATAAACAATGTTTTAAAAAATTGAAATTTCATAGGCGTCATTATCGTCTCCTTGTTTACATTGTAAAGTCTGAAACGACTCGCTGAACCCAGTTCGGAGAAAAATATTATAAACGAAACCCCATTGGTGCAACTTTCACATCACCTTAAAAATGATGAACGGATTACATTTTATACTGCATTAACAATTCATGACTAACCCATCTGCGAGAATCTGGTATCCCGTGACATTATTAAGGTCCCTTGGTAGTGTCCACGTGACGAAAGCACAATGGCAGAGGCTTCGTTGTACCAGAAAATTCGTAGGTTTTGGCACCGAAATCTTGACTTTTTCACTTGTCAATGATATTGGAAATTTGCAGCCCTTTTGGCCGAGATTAAGCTCGGAGCACTTTGCATCTGACTTTTGTTGACATTGTTTCAGGTAAAGGTAAAGTGCTTCTTGATCGAAATCCCATCCTGTATATTGTAGACAAGGCGCTGTCAAGTTTTTCCCTATTTGATCGATGTTGCTTGAATTTCTCAATTCCTGAGCCAAAATAGCGATCATGCCATCCTTGGTGCGGCACTTAGCTTGCAGAAACTTGATCGCAGCTGTCAAGCCTAATAAACATTTAAGATTAATTATTTAATAGAAATCAGACGTAACAATTGACTCCTCGGACGACATTTTCGATATCGCCTTAACAAAGGATAAATTTACAGTACTTTACACGTCACTAAAGCTTAATGCATGTTATACTAAATGGAAAGGAAAGAGTGCAATTAGTTTCTTGTTTCATATTTTTAACCTGAATGTGTGGCTTTAATCGGAGAGGACGAGGCCGATTTATGTGGAAAAATCGGATTTTCAGCGCAGCAGCAATTTTCGATCAATTTTTGGAGAGCCTCGCTTTTCTTCTGCACGGAGGACATGTCTTTTTGCAATTTGTCGACTGTTTTCTGGGATTCCGTTTGTTCGTTTGTATTGGTAAGAATGTTTTTCAAAGGTTGCCTGTTAGTACTCGAGGATGATTTTGTAGATTCGATACAATTGCTTGCAACTTTGTGCGAAGAGTTTCCTCCTTGACCGCCACAATCGGTAACAATTGGCCTGGAAATTGAAGCAAAATTTTGGAAATGATTTTCCACGATAAACTTGAATGAGAGAAATTCAAGTACAATATATGACGTTCATAATTGTACAAAACAGGTCTGTTTGTATATAAATAGCTTAATTGAAGACTGGGTAATTTATATGTGTTCTGAGGTGTTACTTTTGTAAAGATGATTTTGAGGTGGCTTCTTTTTTTTCATTTTTTAGAGATTCGGCTTGTGGATCGCATCCGCAGGGAAAAACTGCAATTTCTCCTTCTTGATAGAAACCACAATTACAGGGACATGCCTGGAATAATAACGTCTTACAAAAGTAATTATTTATTAGAATGATTACTTTCAGGGTCCATTTTGACTTTACGTATAAAGGGGCAAAGTAATTATTGTTCATTGTAGACCCCTACCTCCTCTTCTTCTGAAACCTTTGTTTCCTTCATTTCACTCCGAGTACATGTTGGGCTTTTATCTGGACATGACTGATAAGATTTCGACATGCATCTTGAATTATTAGAACCTTTAGAAAGGTCAACAGGTTGCTCAATTGTGTAATAGTCGCAACTATTCCTGCTAGCCTTGCATTCAGAACATTTCTTTCCTATTGTTAAAAAATAGAGATGCAAAATACAATTTTGTATGTGCATTAATTATCATTGACGGATTTAAACTAAACTAAAGTACGGGTATTGAAAGTATTTCTCGAGATGAGAAACTTAATGGGGAAAATTTTCAAATTGTTGTACCTTTGTTGCACGAATTAGATGATTTGACATCGTGGGAAGAACAATTTGAGGTTTGCGATGCCTTTGATGTTTTTGATACTATTGATGTTTTTGATCTTGTTGAAGTATCCGATACCTTCTTGTTAACTGCCGAGCATCGGTTATTCTTCCTTTTTTTGCTTACTGTACTTCCTAATCAAATATTGTACCGCATTAAAATAATATTAATTAACTCGTAACAAAGTCGCGATCAGTTTCAGCCTTCTTGTTATCAAGGAATCGGTCTTAAATACTTAACCCATTTTCTTCTTTACCCTCTCCGAGATATCTAATTTCTTATCAATGCAGAGACGGTCTTTGTTCCAAGCATTGGTAATCTGCAATTTGAAGCACCAGAATATACAAATTTGAATATCGCTATTCCGGATGTCATTTTTATTTAAATAATCGTCTCCAGAGGAAGTTAATAACAACCAGGGATATTTATAGGATATTTTTTTTTTCCATTTTTGTAACGCTTTACTTCAAAGAAACTGTTTTTTGAATCACCCTGTAGGAAGACACAATCATTCCTCTACTCGAAGACTTGGACTCGATAAGCTACCTGTATTTTTTTTAGGAAGTCTTCATAATAGATTTTTTAAATCACCGTCTTCAGAGTAAGTTAATAAGGAAGTGAGATATTTACAGGATATCTTTTTGGATTTTTCTAACGCTTTACTTCGAAGAAAGTGTTTTTGAATCACCCTGTAGAAAGACTTACAATCATTCCTCTACTCGAAGACTTGGACTCGATAAGCTACCTGTATTTTTTTTAGGAAGTCTTCATAATAGATTTTTTAAATCATCGTCTTCAGAGTAACTTAATAAGGAAATGAGATGTTTACAGGATATTTTTTGGGATGTTTTTGAATCACCCTGTAGAAAGACTTACAATTATTCCTCTACTCGAAGACTTGGATTCGATAAGTGTCGATTGTCCCTGCTTCAATATAACCACGACTTCATTTTTCATTTCCGAGCTCTGTAGTGTCACGTTATTCTCCCGAGTTGTCGCCTTTTCATTCATTCTGGAAGATGTAGAGGGCGCCACCACCGGCAACTTCTTTTTCGGCGCGCATGTTTTCTCGTATCTTCTACGGTCGTTACAATTTCCTCTCGACTCGACTGTTCGAGGTTTCATAAAGCCTTTGGCCTTAAACTGCGAAGTCGACGTGGTGGCATTAACAGCAGGTCTCTTAAAAAAAGTGCGACCCATTTTCCTGGGCCCGCCATCTTTTTTCGAAAACACTACTCCCCTTGGTGGTTTCAATCCGAAGCCTTCGAGGCATCTTGAGCACTTCAATTGTACAGAATGACCACTTTGTCCGTAAGGAAAACTGCTCTGTGAGGATTTCATTCGGAAATTTTCACCGAGCATTGCAACTTCGTTTTTTAAGGAACACCTGCGACACTTCGACAGTGATTTCGGCGATTGCAATCCTCTTTTTGAAGTTGCACATATTTTTCGATGGCATTTTCCTCTGGGAATCTTATATGAAGTCATGATGGATTCGTCTTTCTTTGGTTTTAGGGATGGTTGCCTGCACCTGTTGCACTTCACCGATGAAGTTGCGGTGCCAGGACTCACGGGATATGAGTCGTATATCTTCTTCGAGGGATTTCTTGTCTGGGAAAAAACTGAGTGATTGCATTTTTTGCCGTGAAGTTTCACCTGTGAAGTTTCGAGATAAGCGCGCAGCAAGCGCGAAGTGCAAGTACCAGGAATGCACTTCGGCTTTCTTACGATGACTTTGTCTTTGCATTTGGTGCACTTCCTCGGTGAAGCGTCCACTTCTGCAGTAATTGTAGGTCTTGAAGTGCTCTCCGAATTCGACAAGATAGATGGCGCCGACTTTTGCTCGGTAATTGGAGCTTTGCATTTACTGCACTTCACCTGGGAGTACGAGGTTCCGTAAGTGTCATCGCACTTCATCATTGAGCCTTTACTTGAAATTATGACCGGTATCATCTGTTCCTTTCCTTTTGAAGAATTGCTCCCCTTGCATCTGCTGCACTTCGGTGCTTCGGACGAACTTCCCGCTCTGAAGTTCATCAAAGACTTTGATTTTGACTCCGAGCTGAATGTTATTGAAAAGCTGGGTTTTGTCTGATATTCGCAGGATTCTTTTCCATTTCCAGATTGGGACGTGAATTCAGTATTCCGATTGCACTTCACTTTTGATCTCTTAATTTGAACACTTGAAATAATTTTATAATTCGGATCTGAAGATATAGCCGGAGTTATGGGTGGGTGTGGATCTTTGGAAATTTTGCAAGGATTGCAAGTGTTATTTCTAGGCACTTCAGATGAAGTTTTCGTTTTAGAGTCACCTATAAATGTCGAGGATACGCTAACTGTAGTCGATAGGGGGGTTTTCATTTGCGATTGGCAGCACTTCTTGCATTTTTTAGACAATGAAGTAGCACACGTATTCGGATTGCACTTCATTGTGATTTTGCTGCACTCGTTCATTAAATCTCTATTTAAGGGAGGTGATGATTCTCTGTATACAGTGCACTTCACTTTTGAAGTCTTACTCCTCGGCGGGGGGATTTTATTGCAAACATCGCACTTCATTTTCGAAGTCGTGCCTTCGACTTCCAAATCCGACATTGGCAGTGAAGTTTCTTCCGGAAATTCGCCAGAATTTCTCATAAGAGTAACATTTCCCTTCGAAATGCACAATCCTGCACACGTGCCGCACTTTACGCCTTTTTCCAAAGGAAACTTCAAATTTTCGAAATTTTTCACGTCGCACTTCATTTTAGAATTGTTCATCGGCGATTGTTCAGAAATTGGGCGTGAACAATTATAAGGTAGATCATTTTCCCTGGCCAATTTCTTCGCAGAACATCTTCCTTCTCCATTCATTAAAGTTTCACTCTTTTCGAAGTTGCACTTCATTTTTTTATTTACGTTATCATGACATCCGCAGTTGCAAGGGGTGTTATTGGTGTTTCCACACCCGCAACCACAAGGAGACTTCATATTTCCATCTTTGACGCACTTTTCAGAACCCTCGGAAATTATTGAAGTTTTTTTGAAGTGGTCACATCCACAATCTTCGCCACAATTCTTGCAGATCCAAGTTCCACTTGGCGAGTGTTGATCCGGGCCCCAATCTGTGCAGATGCAAGATTTCCTCTTTTTCTTCGTCATATCGTCCTGTCATTACAAAATGTTCTTTGTACATGTCAATAGATCTTACCTAAGGTTTGTATCGGATTAAATTATTCTTAACCGATGATTTTCAGATATTTACCCAAGTGTTAGCAATTTAAGGTGTTCATTTAAGGTGATATGAAAGGCGCTGAGAAATATAATCGACGTCGATATAATAGAATTCATCTATACCCTTTTTGGAGGTTACGACATTTTGAATACTCAAGTGGTAACATAAGTTGGCGCGTCCCGTTACCGACATTTATGTTTATGTTGAAATCTTTTACAGTCTACGTTGAGAATTATACGAAATGAAGCATTTAATATGCCATTTCGGTAAAGTAATGACGAAGAAATCTACGTAAAACTGTCGAAATCCCGTGAATTCATTATTCTAACGACTGTTTAGGACCAGCGTCGCCATCTGTGACATTTAGCCTCAACTAAATTTTTCCTCTAAGAACACGTGTCAGTCCCGAGACTATCCAGCATTCTCTTGCAATCGTTGGTGAAAGTATTTTCCATATTTTCCCATCTGACTCTGTAATATTCCATTTCTACGGTATTCTAAATTCTTCGAGCTAGGTCCTCAAAGACTTCATTTTCGATTCTATCCCTCCAAGAAGCGTAAAACATCGAAAACGTGCCCGGACCACGCCATGTTGGTTCTAGTCCATGAGAAATAAATACATTTTTTATGAATAATTAAATTTCCTAAGCTTTAGGATATATAGACTGACCCTTTCATATCACCTTAAGTACTGTCATGACTTACGGACGATGTATATAATCCACCTGTCCTGTCAATGGTCTAGATCTCCGTATGCATTGACAATAGTTTGAAGCTTATTGCATCTTGCCAGTTATTTAGACTTTGTCATGTTTTATATAAAGCTTAGAGTATGCCGCAATTTCAAGGTTCGCCTGATGTTCGGACTCCGGGCTTTCCAGGGCGAGCCTTTACGTTTCTGGAAAGAAAAGGATCAGAGATTAGAGGCGCATTAAGGTGATATGAAAGGGTCATTATACATATATATAAAACGCCAAAATATTTATAAAAATTTTCTCCAAACCGAATACACCGAATTGTTAGAAACTTCAGCATGTAACCATGGAGGCTCTAAGAAACAACGTTGTGCTCGTGAAATTTCATTTTTATTAAAAATTTTCTTTATTTATCTCAGAACCGAGAATGCATATTTTTTTGGAAAAGTGAAATTTCACGAACATCGCTTTCTTCCTTAGGGCCTCCATAATCACATGTTGAAGTTTCCAACGATTCGGTGCATCCAGATAAAAGTTTCATAAATATTTTCACGTTTCATACACATAGTATATATATTCATACCAAAAAGTAAAAATATTTGTAAAACTTTTCTCCAAATTGGGTGTCACGAATCATTTGAAACTTTAACACGTGATTATGGAGGCCCTAAGGAAAAACCTGATGCTTATGAAATTTCATTTTTCAGATATGAATTTTCTTATGTAGCTTAGACTAGAACGACAATCGTATTTTTTAGTGGATAATGAAATTTCACGAGCATCGCCTTCTTCCTTAGGGCTTTCATAATCATGTACTGAAGTTTCAAATGATTCGGTATACTCAGTTTGGCGAAAAGAATTATTAATATTTTCACGTTTCATATATATAGAATGACCCTTTCATATCACCTTAAGTGCGAGCGAGACAGCCCTAGAAAGCCTGAGTCCTTTCAGAGGAAGACTTCTTACTTGTTTAATCAGACCTAATGTGCAAGGGCAATCGCACGTACAGATTTCCTCCAGTTTGCTCAAGTCTTTCAACTTCTGCACAGTGCTTTTCACAGGTTCAACCAGGTGACACAGGTTCTGATCCTGAGGATAATTCGGGTAAAGGCAAGTGAAATTATCACGGAATAGGAACATCTAGGTTGATCAATTTAAAGTGATATGAAAGGTTCATTATATATATTATATTATATAATGACCCTTCTATAATATATATAATAAATATTATATATATATGTATAACGTCAAACGTTTATATTTATAAAACTTTTCTCCAAACTGGATGCACCGAATCACTTGAAACTTCAACACGTGATTATTGAGGCCCTAAGGAAAAACCCGATGCTTATGAAATTTCATTTTTCAGACAAATTTTTTTATTTACCTTCGACTATAACCAAAAT